CACACACACACACACACACACACACACACACACACACACACACACACACACCACTGAGAACTCTATGCCAGAAAGGCTCGCTTCGCAATGGGGAGCTGAGGCTCAGAGAAACAAAGTCATTTAGCCAATGTTTACACCTGATACCTCTGAACCCCATTTCTGATGAGGGCTCTTCTCAAGCTCAGTCCACACATGCAGGACTTCCTAGGAGGGCCCAAACAGCCAAGGGGGAGACATGGAGGCAGAGGAGGCTACCAGTGAGGGTCTGGACCAGGTGCACAGAGAAAGGCCTATCATCAGCGAGGTGCTATGCTAAGTAGAAACTCACAGAGTCAGCTGGGCGCTGGTGGCTCACACCTGTAATCCTAACTACTCAGGAGGCTGAGATCTGAGTACTGTGGTTCGAAGCCAGCCCAGGCAGGAAAATCCATGAGACTCTTACCTCCAATTAACCACCAGAAAATCAGAAGTGGTACTGTGCCTTCAAATGGCAGAACACTAATCTTGAGCAAAAAAGCCCAGGGACAGTACCCAGCCCCTAAGTTCAAGCCCCACAAGTAACCAAAAATAAACAGCAACAACAGAAAGAAAACCTCCCAGAGTCCTGTTGGCTGCCCTGGGTTCCTTCAGGGCAAAGCCACAGTCATTTGCTCAAGGGCCCTGGGGGCTGACTAAGCCAGGGGCAAGAATGAACCTGTGATTCCAGAGACAGCAGCCTGGCACAGCTGCTTAGCCCAGGCCTGCTCTATCTTCCTTTGAAACTGCCACCAAGAGGAGGAATTGGCTGGGAACCTTGGCTTCGTGATTAGCAGGCTCCCAGGACGAGCGATTAGCTAAATGTGCAGCTGGCTAAGCTGTTGCCTAAATGAGACCCCACTTGGCCTGGCACTTTCCAGGGCCCCTGGGCCTGACAGTTTTTCCTCAGCTGGAGATTGCTTCAAGCAAAGACAGGAGCTCCTGTACATGGATGGCTGCACAGAAATAGCCAGGGACTGGGTCGGCAGGGTTTTGGCTGTCCTCCACCCCAGGTAATACACCCACAATCTGGCCTGGCAGAAGTTTATACAGCCCTGGAAGCTGGGTCATATCATCTCCCCTAGAAGATATTTCCAAGTCCTGCTAACAGCTTTCTGAGTGATCTCATACTTCCTCTTCCCATCCTGCCAGCAAATCATAAAGCAAAACGTGCAGCTAGAAGCCGGATCACTATATGTGTATGTGCGGGTGTGGGTGTGGGTGTGTGCGCAGAATGGATGCATACCAGTACTGGGGTCTAAACCCAGGGCCTGGGTACTGTCCCTTACCTTTTTCACTCAAGGCTGGTGCTCTACCAGTTGAGACATATCTCTGCTATCATATGTTTCCTGGTTAATTAGAAATAAGAGTTTCTTATTCTTTTCTGCCTAGGCTGGCTTCAGACTGAGATCCTCAGATCTAAGCGTGCTATGCAGCTAGGATTACAGATGTGCGACACTGGTGCTGGACTAGCAGGATCACCTTCAACAAACATGGAGCAAGAGAAGCTTCCTGAAACCAAGGATTAGGTGGCTGCTGGGGGAGGAACTCAGAGGACTGGGCTCCCTGGAATGAAGGAAGTAGAATTCTGCTCTCCAGGGCACATCTGGGCAGCCCCAGAGGCCTCTTCCCTGACGGGGACTTGAGAGCAGACCCTGGCCTAGCCGGTGACCTGGGTCACAAAGGAGTTTCTCAAACACTGATGTTCTTTAGAGCTTCTGATCCATTCACACTCATTACTTCTCACCAATGGTCAGTGGCATTCTCAACTCATTCTCTGGCCCCTCCTATGATATCCTCCATACTGACTTCCAGAACAATTTTCCTTAAAAGTGGCTCATTACTCCCCTGCCTATACCATTTCATGGATCCTCAGAGCCTCTCCTAGACAGCTCCAATTCTGTTTCCTGGTACTCAAGACATTCAGCTTCGGCTTTCTACCCATCCCTGCTCACGACTCTGGCTCAACGCCGTACACGCCAACCCCAAGCAGGAGGAACCCTGCTTTCCCAGACTCCTAGTTTTCAGACTTCCTCTACATTTTCCCATCTGTGTTCTTTCTGCCTTTTGCGTAGCTCATCCGTCCTCACTACCAGTCTCTTTGGCCCCCAAATC